AAGCTAGCTCTTTGATTCGACGCCAGAACTGACACTGTCTGTGATGTTTTAAATAGCACTGAGTGGCTGTGCTGAAAATATCTCCCTTTGCTCTGATTATGTCAACATTTGACCTGCTATTATCCATCACAAATATAACAAATAAAGACCTCAAGACATTCATAGCATTGCTTTTTTAAGTGCGTGTCTCAAAGTGTGCAATTTCTTCTTTTTAAAAAGTTCACACAATGTTAAAATCTTTCATTATTTACAGGCAAGCTTGCTTTTCTCTACAATATCTTCTCTTGCAATACTTAACTAAAAGGCTTTAAGTGTAACAGCATGTCAATTATTTAAAGTGTTTCACGGTTAAGAAGCACACGTTGCTCTTGTTTGAATATGGAAACGATCAGAAAGGGATTTTAAGCACAAAACATATTTTCTCCATTAAACATTATATTTTAAAACATTAAACAGCAACGTTTAAAGGGAGATTAAAAAGATCAGTGCAGATTAACTATAAGCAATGTCAAAGATGAAGGAGGGTTAGATGAGATTTTCTGCAAAGGGCGAGTTATTTAAGTTATGTATTCATAGCAAATGGAAATAGTTTAAGTTTTAATCATTTCCTTAGCTAGAATAATGTGATCCGTACGCTGATTTGAGCTATTAATAATATGATGTTGTGCTTCTTGGCCTCCTAAATAAGTAATTGTTCATACATTTTCCATCCATTTTGACTTATTGAGGGAAAACTGAAACTCTAAGATGTCAACATCAATTTCAACCAATAAAAAAGGTTTGAAAGTGAGAGTCAGAGCACAAATCTAGCCAAAAATAAGATCCAGTGCAAGAGGTTTTTCAAATAATCCTGTTGCACTGATGCATGGAGCAAGTCAGGACAGTTTGCTTCTAAGAAAGAGTGTAAACCTAACCACACGCAGGACTCTAGTGTCAAATTCCCACCAACTTAAAAAAATGTCACTGAAAACAAACCTGACAGCAGGCACATTTCTCTTTTGTTCAGATGTTTAGGTTTTAGGTGGAAAGCACGGGTTGCTTGAAAAGAACAGGGTCACCTTTGTGTGTTTATCTTTTATCTCAGGATTTTAAAACAAAGTCAGCGCTGGAGATTAGCATCTAGGCTAGCAGAGGGAAATAGATGCCAAAAGTATGTGTGAGAAACGGTCTGGAGCAGAGGTTATGAAACACTCAAGGTCTAAACTCCACCTGGGGAACGAAGCACTCGGCCAGATTTCTCCGGATGTATTAAACAATACAGCTGTCCTCCTCGATCCACTCCAAACACAAGTCTCTGATAACTCATTCATCCTTCTTTCTTATCCTCCCTTGTTGCAGCAAATAAGAATCAGATGTTTTGCAGAGGACACACACACACACACACACACACACACACACACACACACACACACACACCCACACACACACACACACACACACACACACACACACACACACACACACACACACACACACACACACACACACACACACACACACACACACACACACACACACACACACACACACACACACACACACACACACACACACACACACACACACACACACACACACACACACACACACACACACACACACACACACACACACACACACACACACACACACACACACACACACACACACACACACACACACACACACACACACACACACACACACACACACACACACACACACACACACACACACACACACACACACACACATTCCTCCTCACTTCCATCACTGGCCGGCAGCTGAGGCTGTGCAGCACAACATCTCTTCATTAAACCACAAACTGGGCTCGCTCCATAAAAGCTAAACACTCAAAAGTCGTGAATAAACAGGCTTTGGGAGTAAAGGATTACACGTAACGGGATCATCAGGATACGAAGAAAACTGTACTCCCTTAAAGTTACATTAACAAATCTGATTACTTTCTAAATGTGTGGATTACTAGCAGGATTACAATGTTAGTAAAAACTTAAAAACAGCGTCTAGTGTTTGTTGTAAAAGGATCAGATGTTCTCTCTTCTCTGTTAGCTGTACGATAATACTTGAATCTATACGCCTGAATCTGCTTCATGCTTTTCACTTTCTTTGCTTCATTTGTTCCGTTTTTAATTCAGCAGGTGAACCTATATGTTCATAAAGTAGTGTGTGTGAGCTTAACTGTGTGCGTTAAACAAAAACGGAGCATTTCCTGTCAGCTCAGATTTCTGCTTTTTCTCAAACTGTAGTCTGTGCTCATGTGTTTCGGTGTAAAGGCTGCTGCCCTCAAACCAAAATGCAGATGTTCCCCGTAAAATGTTTAAAGTGGACCCATCATGCTATTTTTAGGCAATAGCAGAGGTCTCAGATATATAAAAATATATAAAAAACATGTCTGAAGTGTTTTGCTCCAAATACCAAACAGATCACCCATTCTAGCCATGCCTCATATCCCTCTGTTTCACTTCCTGTTTCTAAAGTGCTGATTTGGGGATAAAGCTTTAATAAAGGAGGAGGGGTCTGAGCTCATGCGGGACCCGGCAGCTACGGTCTAAACTAAATGCTGCCGTGATGAAACACCATATCATGGATCATCAAGGATTCTCTCTGAAACAGTTTGGAGCTCAAAGGCTTTCTCTCTTGCCGGTTATACCACAAGGTGAGTTCCTTTTTACTTCCTGCTTCTTCACACACATGCTCTCCAGTACAGGTTAGCTCTGAGTGTTAGCGATGCCAATGTAAACACCGACCATATTACGTCCAAAACAGTCGGGCATTGTTTCTGATAGCAACGTTTCTGATTGGGCCGTGGGTCCACATTTCAGATATTACGTCATATCGGACGCAAATCTGGATCAGCTCCGTTGTTCCCCCGTTTTTAGAGATTTGGGTACGGAGGAAAGAGAGAGGGTTTTATTTGCTGACGCTGCGTGAGTTCCCTTGACACACCGGGGACACATGTTTATGTAGAGAAGACATCAAAAAGTGACTTTTGCATCATAGGTCCCCTTTAAGTGATGCCAGAAAACAATATTTGTGTTCTGTCAAAAACTGTATAATTACTCCAAAAATATGAAAACCGCGTCGAATTGCGCGTCAGACAGCAGTTGTTTACGTCCGCGGCGCCATCTTGTATACCTATTCCTATAAATACAATCAGTTTTTATCCTAAATATCTTGTAAGTCAAAAGGAATGGGAAGTAATTAGGTTACTTTTATATTGGGATACTCAGATTAGGTGACTAGTAATTGTAACAAACTACATTTTTAAAGTAACTCTCCCAACTCTGTATATAATTAACAGTTGTCATTAACTCTGTAAATTAATGCAGCAGGATTTGATGTTATCACTTGCTCTTGGCTCGGCTCTGCACCCTGGGACGAATTGTTCTCAAAAGCTCACACCATGAGGCTTAAATATATGAAGCGAGGCTTAAGGAGACATCCTCTGCTCTATAGCCTTTCCGTCAAAAAGCATGACTCGCCCCAAACAAAGACAAGAGCCCTTTCACCCCGCAAATTCCTTGACAACTGCAGCAAGCTTCCTGCTGGCATTTGATATGCTCCATTTCGTTCCCATGACCAGAAACTCCAGTCATGCTGAGGCTTTTTTTCGCCGAGCGGTTGAAGGCTCGTCGTCTCACTGGCGCTCTGAAGCTTCTCTGTTCTCTGATGTGAAACGTCCCTTATTCTCTGCACCAGCGAGGAGTGTCACAGCGCGTCAAAACTGATTACATTTCTCAAGGCGTGCCGTGAACACTGTATATTTGTGCTGTGGGAGACTGTGTGTAATTAGCTTCAAGAGGCTAGGATACAACCTTTCTTTAGTTTTATTCTAAAGTAGGACGACAACAATAGTCTGAAAAAGGTCGTATGGTAAGAAATGCTCCGGTGTGAAATGTTAAAGTGTCAAAACTGATTGAATTCCTCTCTCGGCGTCCCAAAGCGTTTCAGTACGGTCTCTATGTTGCTGCAATTATAAAAAGGTAAGACACACTGTGGGACATTCTGGGTAATTAGCTTTAAGTGGTAAGGATGCAACATTTTTCTCCAGTTTCTCTTTTGGCTTGTCGTTACTGAAGTCCACATGAAACCTTAAGAGAGCTCTGTGGTCCTTTAAGTAAAAAAGGACTTCAACAATAGTCAGAAAAAGGGTCATATTGTCTGCAAAATGGCAGCTTTTCAGTGCTTCACTTCCACTTAGAAAGGCCATATTTACCAGTGACCTTGAACACACTCCTCATATGAAGCCAGAAACATCAACCCCCGCCCCCTCCCCTCTTCCTCCTCGTCCACTTTCTCAAACTCACCGAGCTGACTCTGTTTTTCCCAGCATGTGGTTGCCAGGTTGGACAGTTCCCGGTATTTCTCCGCCAGTTGGAGTTTGCCGTTATTAAGTTGCGGTTGCCGGGCGAGACTCTCCTCCGCCACGCTCCGATTGGTCGACAGCAGCATCTCTCGGTCCACCTGCAGATCCTGAAACTAAAACAGAAGCACAAAGTCAGTGGATCAGCCTTTCAGGCATGTGGGACAGCTGTGTGTCGCCTTTAATTACATCGTCAAATTATGTGGGCATCGATCAGAGAGAGACTTTTATTTTGAAGAGGACAAGACAATTTTCTCACTTTTATTAGCCTCGTTCTAAATGTAATTTTCTGTCAATAAAAATGTTTTAATGCAGAATTTGTTGACTTTTCTACAGAATGTAATGTACTGTGTTTTAAGAGGAGATATTGCACTTTTTTTTAGATAGACACACAGCACGGAAATCACATTTCCCGTCTAGTCTGGTTTGCTATTTTTACTGCCATCTCCATTGTTGTTTTTCTTATACCTTGATCTAACAGTTTGCTATCCCCATAATAAAGTTATATTGTTGTTTGGGAAGTTGTGATGGAAACTTCTTCCTGTCTTCTTATAGACACCCTCTTCCTGTTTGTGGTGATGTGGAGGCCCAGAGGGACATCCTGCAGGAGAGAGACCCTGAATGTTTCTCTACAATTACAGGAAAGTTCTGCTGCAGTAAATAGCTGAAGGGTAATCCCAGCGGTTCTTGTTTCCTTTCAAACACAGCGATGGACCCACTGCAGCTGCATGAGTTCAAACACCCTGAATGCCCCTGAGCATGGAGGAAATCACTGGACTGAGATTCTGTGTGTTTCTGATACAGCAAGTGTTTAAATCACTGTTGTAGACAAAGACTATTTATTGTGTGATGCTGTAGTGTGTTATGTGGGTTTGTGTGCATGTAAATGGTCTGCAAAGGCTAAAATCCCCCCTGCCTGAAACACCGTTGCACTCCTTTGTTTACTTCATATTGACATCACTATGGAACACTCGCTCTCCTATTGGCTAGTGCTCCAACACATGGTAAGTGATAGGCTAAGTGGCGGGACATCTCTAAGCGGTTGACCAATCACAACAGAGACGGCCAGCTAACAATCAGAGCAGACTGGGCTCTGGTTTCAGACAGAGGGTGAAAAGAGGTGCTGCAGCACAGACAGTATGAGAACAATAAAGAGCCTTTTGAACATTAAAGCATGGAGACCTGTAGAGACACTACATACTGATATACACCTGAACATCAGCAGGAGAGGACTCTTTAAAGTAGAGACACTACATACTGATATACACCTGAACCTCAGCAGGAGAGGACTCTTTAAAGTAGAGACACTACATACTGATATACACCTGAACATCAGCAGGAGAGGACTCTTTAAAGTAGAGACACTACATACTGATATACACCTGAACATCAGCAGGAGAGGACTCTTTAAAGTAGAGACACTACATACTGATATACACCTGAACATCAGCAGGAGAGGACTCTTTAAAGTAGAGACACTACATACTGATATACACCTGAACATCAGCAGAGAGGACTCTTTAAAGTAGAGACACTACATACTGATATACACCTGGAACATCAGCAGGAGAGGACTCTTTAAAGTAGAGACACTACATACTGATATACACCTGAACATCAGCAGGAGAGGACTCTTTAAAGTAGAGACACTACATACTGATATACACCTGAACATCAGCAGGAGAGGACTCTTTAAAGTAGAGACACTACATACTGATATACACCTGAACATCAGCAGGAGAGGACTCTTTAAAGTAGAGACACTACATACTGATATACACCTGAACATCAGCAGGAGAGGACTCTTTAAAGTAGACACTACATACTGATATACACCTGAACATCAGCAGGAGAGGACTCTTTAAAGTAGAGACACTACATACTGATATACACCTGAACATCAGCAGGAGAGGACTCTTTAAAGTAGAGACACTACATACTGATATACACCTGAACATCAGCAGGAGAGGACTCTTTAAAGTAGAGACACTACATACTGATATACACCTGAACATCAGCAGGAGAGGACTCTTTAAAGTAGAGACACTACATACTGATATACACCTGAACATCAGCAGGAGAGAACTCTTTAAAGTAGAGATACTACATACTGATATACACCTGAACATCAGCAGGAGAGGACTCTTTAAAGTAGAGACACTACATACTGATATACACCTGAACATCAGCAGGAGAGGACTCTTTAAAGTAGAGACACTACATACTGATATACATCTGAACATCAGCAGGAGAGGACTCTTTAAATTAGAGACACTACATACTGATATACACCTGAACATCAGCAGGAGAGGACTCTTTAAAGTAGAGACACTACATACTGATATACACCTGAACATCAGCAGGAGAGGACTCTTTAAAGTAGAGACACTACATACTGATATACACCTAAACATCAGCAGGAGAGGACTCTTTAAAGTAGAGACACTACATACTGATATACACCTGAACATCAGCAGGAGAGGACTCTTTAAAGTAGAGACACTACATACTGATATACACCTGAACATCAGCAGGAGAGGACTCTTTAAAGTAGAGACACTACATACTGATATACACCTGAACATCAGCAGGAGAGGACTCTTTAAAGTAGAGACACTACAAAAACAAAAATTATTTAATTCTGATGTGTCCTTTTGAAAAATGCAATGTTAGTGCCAGAATATTCTGAAAATAATTGGTTGGTGAAAAGTTGGTTTGAAATACATTAATGAACAGCATGCGATACAACTGTTCAACTCTCACATTGGAGATAATAGACTCCTAAAGCAAAACCAACGTGACACAGATTGAGGAAATTGACTCTCAGTGGGACGTCTCTTTTCCAAAACACTATTGGATTACACTAATGTCCTTACAGTCACAGGGCTGCGTCCCACTGTCACCATCAAAGTCAAACTACACTTTGACTTTGAAAAGCCCAGACAGACAAAAGGGCAGAAGCAGGAACTGGAACAATATTTACTATTGTGACCACCTTGCCATAGAATAGGTCATAAACTGTGTTAGTCACATAAATGCTTCTTCATGTCTCTTCTACATCGACATGTGTCCCCTCTTCTTCAATGTCTCTTCTACATCAACATGTGTCCCCTCTTCTTCATGTCTCTTCTACATCAACATGTGTCCCCTCTTCTTCATGTCTCTTCTACATCAACATGTGTCCCCTCTTCTCCATGTCTCTTCTACATCAACATGTCCCCTTTGGAAAACAGGGCTGAAACAGAGGGGATTATGGGTAATGCTGCAATGATCGGTTTGGTGTTTCAGCCAATCAGAGACAGGCTCTGTATATATCTGAGACCTATAATATATTGATGGAAAACAGTATAATAGGAGACCTTTAATCCACTGTTACTATAGGAGTCAAACTAGACTTTGACTTCCGAAGAGCGCAGACAGACAAAAAGACAAAAGATCTGAAGTAGGAAACAGAAACAAGTGAACACAAGTTCTTTTGGCAGCATCTCCCCAACAAACCTGTCCCTTTCTGTTATGAAAGTAATGATCTGTAAGGAATACAAACCACATCAATCGTAAGAAACTGACACCTCTTCCCTGATATCAACTGCTGCCTTTAAAGGAGGACACGCTAGAAAACGGAATTATTAGTGTCTTAGAAATATCAATTTGAATCAAAGTCAAAACATGTTGGAACAAAACCATGTGAGCATTTGAGCCTTAGAAGTGTGCTGGTTTTATGGATTGTAAAGGGATTTTTCAAAATGTCAACACTTAGATAAACAAGTATATCAGTGACTGGGGTCAACGAGTACTTTGTCTCTTCTTGATAAGGTACTTTTCATGTTTTAAGTAGGCTTGAAAATGCAGCAAAGGTCATTTTAAAAAGAGGTTTTTTACATTTGTGTTAGGCCTGTGAAAATGTCATGTCACGATTTGTCCTGAATAATCTTATCTCAAATAAAGGATTAATAAATACGTTGAAAAAAGCAACATTGTGAGTGTCGGTTCTTTCTTACGATTAAGATAATTATAACTATGATAATTCCTGTATGCTTTCAAATCAGACTGTATTTTACAGCAAGACGGCAGCTTTGATAATAATGATGATTTCCCTGATAATGGAACACCCTAAACAACTTATTGTGTTTTCTACCCAGATCCAAGATGAAATCCTACATTGTCCCATCTATAATTGATGTAGTGATACTTTCATGAAAAGGATCCAGTGAAATACAAGCCTTTTCTATGTCATGGATCCCCACTGACACTTAGACTAGTATTTCATTCATTAAAACTTAAGTGGAAACCCTAAAAGTACTTTCTCTGTAAAGGTCCCAATTCGGGTTTTGTTTTACGGCTTCGCTATGCTGCTGGGGGATTGAGAGCTGGTGGTCTGCGTATATATGAAGCAGTAATCGCTGTCTCTAGACCATAAAAAAGCTATAAATTATTAAAACGAATGCCACTCCCATAATCTCTCGCTGAACAATGCTGTCACGGCATCGCTGTGAAGAAACAGTTGGTGTTTCAAACGCCGATACAAAGACACATTGTGAGCTGCCAAACTGTGAGTCCTCTCTCACTATCCCACCAAGTCGCAGCATTCCCAGCCGGATACTTTTCTTTGCTCAATTGCTCTCTTTCAGCAGTCATTCATTTAGAGCCTGAGGGCATCTCCATTGAGCCCAGTGTTGTACGATGCATCTGTCTCACATTTAACGGGTCGTCAAAAGGATAGACCAGTCCCAAGTTCAGAGGAATTTGCAGAATGTGCCCCGTAGTCAGAGATGGAAGAAGGACTCAGATCTTGTACTAACGTTAAAGTACTCAGATCTTGTGCTTGAGTAAAAGTAGAAGTAAAGATCTTGTGCTTGAGTAAAAGTAGAAGTACAAAGATCTTGTATTTGAGTAAAAGTAGAAGGACTCAGATCTTGTATTTGAGTAAAAGTAGAAGGACTCAGATCTTGTACTAACGTTAAAGTACTCAGATATTGTGCTTGAGTAAAAGTAGAAGTAAAGATCTTGTGCTTGAGTAAAAGTAGAAGGACTCAGATCTTGTACTAAAGGAAAAGCAGAAGTGCTGAGATATTGTACTTAAGTAAAAGTAGACGTCAGATCTTGTACTTGAGTATTTTTATTTTAATCGTTTATTTGGTAGGGACATTGCACATTAATGAACACTTAAAACAATAAATGTACCAAGTGTAAATATGCCGGATTTAGCTTTGAGCTACTTTCCATCCTCAGTCCCTCACATAAAATATTTAACATTAAAGTAGAAGGACTCAGATCTTGTACTTGAGTAAAAGTAGAAGTACTCAGATCTTGTACTTGAGTAAAAGTAGATGTACTCAGATCTTGTACTTGAGTAAAAGTAGAAGTACTCAGATCTTGTACTTGAGTAAAAGTAGAAGTACTCAGATCTTGTACTTGAGTAAAAGCAGAAGTACTCAGATCTTGTACTTGAGTAAAAGTAGATGTACTCAGATCTTGTACTTGAGTAAAAGTAGAAGTACTCAGATCTTGTTCTTGAGTAAAAGTAGATGTACTCAGATCTTGTACTTGAGTAAAAGTAGAAGTACTCAGATCTTGTACTTGAGTAAAAGTAGAAGTACTCAGATCTTGTTCTTGAGTAAAAGTAGAAGTACTCAGATATTGTACTTGAGTAAAAGTAGAAGTACCAGAGTGTATGAATACTCTGTTACAGTAAAAGTCCTGCATTCAAAATGTTCCTCAAGTAAAAGTAGAAAAGTATTCTCATCAAAATATAGTGAAAGTAGCGACTTTGTAGAAGTACAAAGTAGCAAAAACCTGAAATACAAGTCTCAAAATGGTACTTAATTACTGTACTTGAGTAAATGCACTTAGTGACTTCACACTACTGCCTCAAGTCAAACAGAAACAGATACGACGATGAATGGGCGCCCTGTTCCCTGCGTTGGCTCGCCCACCGCCCGTATACCATGCAACAAATGCTGCAGTCTGCAGGGAGGGCTTCTTTGTGTTTTGATGCACGGGCAGTAAAGCCGAGCTGACAGTGTTTACTATCCCTGACGAATGACACTCTGAGCACTTAAGTGTCTTAGTTTTAAACCAGGGGTTGAATTGAAGCAGCCGCTCTGTTGTTTTCTGTGGTTCAACAAGTCTGACCGCATGAAATCCAGTAAAATATGTGTTTTTCTTTCATCTTAAATGAGGCCCGAGCTTAATGAGAATCAGAAAGCCTTTAAAACATTCAGTCTGAGGAGAAGTTGACGTGTGACAAAAGTGTTTTCCATGGAAGAGAATTATACATTTACCACCAGGCCTGAGAGAAAAGAAGGACCAGCTCCATTTGGGAGTTTAAAGCAGCTGTGATCAATATGTGAGACATTCGATCAAACAGATAGGTGTAATGGGAAACGTGTCTGATTAACCATCTTTGCTCTATCTGCTAAGCATCAAACTATAAATACAATGTTTGAAACTACATAGTGGAGCATTAAGCAGCTTAGAGTCAGATGTTTTCTGAAGCGAGGGTGGAGACCAAACCAGAGGTAAAAATATTGAATACAAGTTGAATTTAGCTTTTTATATAATGTTGTGTTTAGAGGTAGGGGTGGATTGATTTGTCCTCAGACAGAGAAAGGCTAGTTTTCTCCTGTATGCAGTTTTTAAGCTGAGCTAACTGGTTGCTAGTTACATTTAACGGATAAATACAAGAGAGGAATTGATCTTCTTTAAATGTTATCTAAAAACAAGCAGTTATACAAGGACTTTGCCCAAATAGATAGTCTCCAAATGCTAATTCAAACTTGTGCTATCTGATCAAAGGCTAAACAAGAAATACGAGTTTGTCCAAGCTTATACACCAGCGTTGTTGCGACTCTCAGAATGACCTCCTTCTCCAGTTGTGTTCTTGATGTTTCAAATCATTGCACTAGAAATATCATGACATGTAGCTTGTTCAGTGTGCAAGTTATTAATGAGAATATGAAGAGCGCTGCACGACTCATCGTGAATGGATAAACTCATGTGGATTACATAACATTCATCATTATTAACATAGGATTAATGAAGCGTAAACTGCTTCCAAGAGCTCGTATGGAGATGAGATGTGAAAGCAGCCAGCCGTGATGACATAGTACACGTTTTAATATATGTTATGTACAGTAGAGTCGACTAGGAGACGGACTTCTCTCAGGATAAAAGGTCCTCTGCACAAACAAAGGATCTGTGGTATTAGTTCATGACGGACAAATGGAGGTCTGGATAAATAGTTGCTAAAACACCCCGAAGCCCGAAGCGCTCTGATCCCTGGAGGGGTTTTTTCCGGGGGGTATTGTATGACCTCTTCGTGATATCCAACCACTGCAGCTCCATCATTTCAATTCATTCTCAGAGCCAGGTTTCAAATGTCACCGCTTGGTTGCCAAGAACAAGGCCAATGAGCAATGCCTTTCTTTGTTTCCTCAGCAATGTAGCTACTTTTTTAAATCAACATTTTATATCTTGATCTTTTTTGGCTATATTGTAACCGGATGATGGATTTAAGTCATCAGACGTCTGGATCTTAAGTTATCAGAGAAACATGCCAAGCAAATTAACCGAGAATCTGAGAACTTGAAGGAATGTTTCTGGACGTGAAATTGTGTCATTCAGTGTTTTTTACCCTGGTCCATTTATTATGGACAGCAGGAGACATACTGGATGCTTCAGAGCCTGGTTGCCAAGAACAAGGCCAATGAGCAATGCCTTTCTTTGTTTCCTACGCAAAAAAGAGTCACAAGACATTCAGCTTTTGGCGTCTTAAAAATTGTATGTTAACTGCATTAAAAAGTCTAAGAATTACGAGGCCTGTGTTATTTAAACGACGTTCAAACCTAAAGAAATCCGAAATTGTAATCGATGTACTGGTCTGTTTCACTTGTCTGTTAGTAATGCTGTTTTATCCAATTTGAAAATGTGTCAATGTTGTGGTTGTTGGCAAAACATTTAATAAATTCCCCTTTTTTAACCGTTTTTCTGGCATTTTTGATCCAAGATCTTCATCTTTTTGGACAATATTTAGATACTAGGAGGACTCAGAGGACTCAGAGGACTATTTTTCCTTACGTGAAATTGTGTCATTTAGTGTTTTTACCAGTTTTAACAACATGTTCCATTTATATTTGCACAGTGGGAGACATCTGTGGATAATTCAGCTCCTGATAAACTGTAGATGTTGCAATGACAGCAACAACAACACCCATAATCTCCCACAATCCCACTGAGAACATGTATGCAATGACAATACCCCCCAGGTTATGTTTGACTGCATGCATTGTTGTCAATAATCCACCCATAGCTGTGAAAGACATGCATTTCTAAAGCATGTTGAATCCTTGCTGAGACTCTTTGCTGTTTGAGCACCCCCTCCAAGGCAAACCTAATCAAAATGGGGCCCATAGCAAAGTTTGGGAACCATTGTTACACCTTGTATCTCTGTGTGTGTGTGTGTGTGTGTGTGTGTGTGTGTGTGTGTGTGTGTGTGTGTGTGTGTGTGTGTGTGTATATATAGAGTATAAACTCTTGTATGTTCTTATGTCATCATTTACATTAAGTGCAAGTCCTCTAACGAATGACAAACACTTAATTTCCAGATTTTTAAGAGGAATTCGGCATAAAGTGTGTCTGTGTGTGTGTGTGTGTGTGTGTGTGTGTGTGTGTGTGTGTGTGTGTGTGTGTGTGTGTGTGTGTGTGTGTGTGTGTGTGTGTGTGACTGAGTGAGTGGCAGAGAGAGGCATTTAGTATGACTTCACTTCAGGAAGGTCATCATGGAGCAGAGGAACGTGCCTCTTGACATGGACAGCAAGACACGTGGAAACCCCTTTAAAATATGTTTATTTTTTATTTCACATGTTTATACTCCTAGCTACACTCGTGAAAGAAAAAGTATTTAGGTTTTCTTTATTGTCATGAAGCAACTGCTTAATTTGGCTTTAATCCAACACATCAATAGTCTATTTTATGAAGTCGAAGTACACTTTGAATCAGAATTACAGAATTACCTCTGTCTTGTATGTATCTTTCGATGGAAAAGGACTGAGGGCGACCAGTTGTAAAAGTTGAATTTCTATTAAAAGATGTATTCCTTAAAAAAAAAAAGTAGAGCCGAATTCAGTAGTAAGTACTAATAACTCTTTTATTATCTTAAGTTATCTTTTAACTTATGGGCAAGTCCTCTAATGGATGGAAAACACTTAATTGCCTGATTTAAAAAGGAGGAGTTCTGCGTAAAGACTCAAACCAAACAGGGGCGCATCTGGGGGTCTTTAACACCTCCACATGATGCTTCCTGCATGATAATCTTGTGTAATAAAACAATCACTTGAACAAACCACATAAATCAATAATACAATACATCAATAGTAAATGTTATGAAGTAAAAGTACACTTTTATTCTGAATTCGCCTCTGCTCACCAATGTATCTTGGGAAGAGGGCTGAGCGTAAAGTTGAAATTCTATTAAAACATGTATTTCTTTATATACTAAAGTAAAGCCGAATTCAATAGTAACTACAAATAACTATAATAAGCTCTTACGCAATCTTTTCCCTAATGTACAAGTTGTGTAATGGACGAGAAACACTCAATTGGCTGGTTTTTTAAGAGGAGTTCCGCGGAAAGAAGGGGGTCTTCAACACCTCCATGCGATGCTTCCTGCACCATAATACTGTTGTGGTATAATATAAATCATATAAATCAAACCATTTTGTGTTTTGTCTTTGATTCAGTAACTAATAATTCACCGCAGATATTAGGGGGACCTGGGTTCATTCATAAAAAAGGAATTGGAAATCCGACCACTCGCCACGCAGACAATCGATGATGAGCCACAAAGCGGATTTACACACTGCACATTAAAGAAAAAATGACCTAAACCCTAGTTTCCAGCCACGAAAAAAAGGGTACAGACAATGCATGTAAGAGCATGTGTAAGTAAAAAAGCAGATGTGTAATGAAGCATTAAAACAGCGCACATTCCTTGTGCTACTTTGTCTCTTTTAGGGGGAACAGATCCTCCTTACCTTTTCATTGAGTCGAAGGATTTGGTCCATTTTCTCGTCGTTTTGTAAAAGCTCCTGCAGCTCACTGGTGCTTAAAGCCCTGTACCCGTCAGGACACGTGTTTGCCTCCTTCAAAGTGGACATTTTATTCCTTTTTATTCCTTCAAATAAGCGTCAGGAGACGGTTTTAGGAAACATGAAGTCCGCACAGCGGTGGTTACATTTCGCTCACATCGGAATGCGATCTGCCTGCATGCAGCAGCAGAAGAAGAATAGTCAAGCGCCCAAAACTGACCGTAAAACAATACACTTCCGGTCTACGTCTACAAAATAAAACAAAACATTTTCCCGCCTCAATGCTCTGAAGAAATGTAGAATGTATTAATTGCTTTGACATTATAAACAACTAATTAAACTGTGCATAATTAAAAACATTTCTCAAAATCTTAATTCCCGAGTGGACACTTGTGTTTTGTTTTTTGTTTGTTTTGTTTTTGTTTGTCCATAATAGTTAGATAGATAGATCAACCCAGTCTCACGGCATTTCGTGTTCACCAACACGATTTTTAATCTATTGATTCGTGTTCACCAACACGATTTGCCCCTTTTTTTCGTGTTGCACAGCACGATTTTAAAAGCAATGTATTTCTACTGCCTGCAGCACGTCTTTTTCTCCGGTCGGGTCGAGGAAGACCGGAAACTGTGTGGTTCATAAAAACATGTTCTTACTCAATATCAAGCCACAGTTATTGCTTTTATTTGAAATCGTATAATTTCGGACTTTTGTTGCCGTCTGTGAGGAAAATAAATGGGGCTCAGAGCCTCAGGATGCTGAAATCTGTATTTTTAAATATTTTTTTTCGTTTTCGTTTTTCCCACAATTAGAAGTTTTACATTAAACACATTGGTGTTATCAAATGTAAAACATATAATTAATAAATGGGTGAAAATCGCTTGTGTCCATAATGCGCAGCATTAATACCCACATGACAGCTCATTGTTACTTTGTAATTCTACTCCACTACAATTCAGAGGTTAACCTGGTATTTTTACTCCACTGCATTTATTTGAGTTACTTTGCAGATTCTGATTAATTATGTGAAATATAAACAACCCTTAAATCAGACTTTAGTTACACCTGAGTAAAATTCAGGTAAGGTGATTGTCAAGTGCCAACAATCAGGAGAGATATTTGATAGTTGGTGCTTGAGAAGACTAAACATGTATCTGCAATTGGACATGAATGGAAACGAGTAATAAAGTATATTCATTACTCGTTATTCTCTACTAATAGGCTAGTTAATTAAAGACTGTATATTATGGCTATTTTGCACATCCCTTTCAAGATTTTCAAAGGTTTATTGACATATCATATACACAACTACGGTGTAGTTATGCAATGAATGAAACACTTGGGTCACAGGTTCCTCAACAGTGCATTACAAGACATCTATCAATATGTGTGTACCTCCACCATTAAACTGTCATATTCTGCACATTTCTTATTCTACATACATAAGAGTATAATTCATATGTATAATATCAGTTAAAATAAGTGCTTCAACATAGTTAACATTGCAGGAAAGCAATATATTAGACGTTAAGTACTTTGTCATGCTTAATATTTATCTGTAGATATATACCCCCAAAGTTTTTTTCTTATTTAAAAGAAGACCTTAATCTGTTATTTAATGTTAAGGTTAATTCGTTTTTCTGTTTTGCACCTCCTCCTATTAATATCTTTGTACATTCTGCACTAAACTGTTTTATTGTAGAGATCACTTATAGTATCTTCTTGATTTTTTATATTCTATATTTATACTTTCCCCCTATGAAAGTATGTACTCTTAATATTTTTTTAATCAAATAAAACACAATAATTCAATAACGTGCTTTAACCACTAGGCGGTGCACACAAGGTACACACAGCCATAATAACTTAGTATTATTAGTGTAGGACACTTTTGTTTTCGTACAACATCTGAAGATGTGTAGTTTTATGCATGCTTTCACATAATTTTACAGCATATTGCTATACTATTTCAGACTCAGTATTTACATTCTTACATTCAAAGAAAATCAGTAATATCTTTAAAAACTACAGTCCTTTTATATCAGCTGTGCACCGTTATGGTGTAAATATAACCTATCTGTGAATTAGATCAAATGTAAAAGTCAGCCGAATTAGTGTTGATACTGCAAGGAGACGTATTGTGTGAAGAGAAATTGAAGATGTTGTTTAATTGTTGAATATATTTATGATCCACGTCAAGTATTCAGTTTCGGCGGCATTTTCTCAGTTTTCCAAAGGTCTTCTCATCAGGGCTCTATAAATAAAGAACTACGGCAGATCTGTAATATACAATGCAGCCGAACCGTGTATTACAATGCCGTTATGTGATGACTTTCAAAGAGAAAAGCAAGAGCGCTCGGAATTAAGTATTATTTTATTCTTTTTAAATGTTTTCCGGATTTCATATCATATAAACACCAAATCCCAGCATGCATTGCGGCTAAAACATCCAATAAGCGAGCTTAAAACCATAGCTGAGGATCTTGGGTAATCGCTCGAAATGCCTACATCTGTTTCCGGTTATTTTTATTTTGAAATTCAGTTCCTGACGGACGCCAAAAAAGCCCGAGATTATGGAATTAAACCAATAAATAAAAGCAAGGATAATTGTGTGTTATTGGTGAGTAAATAACAGTGTGTTATTTTGAAAAGAATAACAAATTAGAAGGAAAAAATATTTTAAAAATACAGATTTCAGCATCCTGAGGCTCTGAGCCCCATTTATTTTCCTCACAGACGGCAACAAAAGTCAGAAATTATACGATTTCAAATAAAAGCAATAACTGTGGCTTGATATTGAGTAAGAACATGTTTTTATGAACCACACAGCTTCCGGTCTTCCTCGACCCGACCTGAGAAAAAGACGTGCTGCAGGCAGTAGAAATACATTGCTTTTAAAATCGTGCTGTGCAACACGAAAAAAAGGGGCAAATCGTGTTGGTGAACACGAATCAATAGATTAAAAATCGTGTTGGTGAACACGAAATACCGTGAGACTGGATAGATAGATAGATAGATAGATAGATAGATAGATAGATAGATAGATAGATAGATAGATAGATAGATAGATAGATAGATAGATAGATAGATAGATAGATAGATAGATAGATAGATAGATAGATAGATAGATAGATAGATAGATAGATAGATAGATAGATAGATAGATGGATGGATGGATGGATGGATGGATGGATGGATAGATGGATGGATAGATGGATGGATAGACAGACAGACAGACAGACAGACAGACAGACAGACAGACAGACAGACAGACAGACAGACAGACAGACAGACAGACAGATATATAGATAGATAGATGATAGATAGATAGATAGATAGATAGATAGATAGATAGATAGATAGATAGATAGATAGATAGATAGATAGATAGATAGATAGATAGATAGATAGATAGATAGATAGATAGATAGATAGATAGATAGATAGATAGATAGATAGATAGATAGATAGATAGATAGATAGATGGACGGACAGACAGACAGATAGACAGATAGACAGACGGATAGATAGATAGATAGATAGATAGATGGACGGACGGACGGACGGACGGACGGACGGACGGACGGACGGACGGACGGACGGACGGACAGACAGACAGACAGACAGACAGACAGACAGACAGACAGACAGACAGACAGACAGACAGACAGACAGACAGATAGATAGATATATAGATAGATAGAAGTGGTAGGTAAGAGTTTTTTCCACCACTGATCTCATGTTGTTAGGTCCCAACACTTTTACTTTAACCAGTATGACAGCACATTTGACTCCTGAGCATTCAGGAAATTAAGTCTTGTTCTTTTCTCTCCCCACAGCTCCACTTCTGCTGACGGCTGCAGCATTTGTTAGCAGACGGCGGTCAGATGCGTAAACTCTGGTTTCAGTGGAAAAGGCGCCTTCTCTTTATTGTGGATTGAGGAAATGTGTCATAGACTATTCAGACGTGGAGAAGGTTTTGCAATGTTATCCCTCCTCTAAGCTCTCTTTGAGTCTGGAGTAGAGTAGGGGGTATTTTCAATCCGGGGGTATACCATTTCTCAATTTCAATACAATTTCAAAGTACTTGGACTTTAGAGTTTTTTCATACTCTATACTTGTACTCTACTAGATCTCAGATATAAATATTTCACTTTTTAGTGCACTACATCTGTCTTGAGTTATTTTCAGATTACATTTGACTGAACATTCCTTATTTCCTTTATTTGAAACCTCACAGTTATTACTGTAATGTTGGTTGGGCGTCCAATATATTAAAATCACATTGTTGGTCCAGAGGTCTATGCGTTGTTTTCTCATGCAGGTGCTAAAGGTTCAAAACCCAGAGGAGAGACAACTTGTGTCTTCTGCTTTGCTGATGTTAAATCTGGAGACATTGTCCCCATGTTTATTACACATTTTTTTCCGCAGCGGATTAAGAAACATGAATCAAAAATAAATTATTTTGCCAAGCCTTGGCTAGATGCTTTCCCTCCAATTTCAACCTTTAAGCTATGCTAAGCTAACTTATGCTTATTGTTTTTTTGCTAAAAAGCTTTGTGTTTAGCATATATGAGACCAATATTCTAAAAACAACAATCTCATAACAAATGAATACAATGTACAGTAAACTTTATTTATAATTTTTGCATCTCTAGTCTCACACATTAAATACATACATCTCTCTTATGTGAAACAGTGCAGGCCATTTGTGTGTTTTCAATAGTTTCTGGACAACAATGGAGCTGTTGACGTGGTTTCCCCTCTACTTTTAGCCTTTATGCTAAGCTAATGCCTCCAGCCACAATAGCGTCTTATTTTCTGAAAAAACATGGATAATATTAAAATAATACCACAGTCAAAATACCTTTGTTTTGATCTCTCTGCTCAGCAGGATACAGATATGAAAGTAAAAAGTCCAATTAAAAGTAATTCTTTAAAAAGGATATTCTCTCCCCTTTAAACGCCATTTTATCCCACATCGTCGTAATCCTCTTCATCATCGTCTTCACCATCGATGTCGTCGTAGTCCTCAGTGGACGCATCGTCTGTTTCTTCATCTGTTTTCCTGTAAGGTGGAGGAAGAATCCTCACCTCAGCCTCCACCTTTACATAGTCAGGTGTTGGATTCTCGTAATCGGGCGACGCCTCCTCGTATCCGGCCGACGCCTCCTCGTAATCGGACATTGGCTCCTCGTAATCGGACATGGCCTCCTGGTATTTGGGCATGGACTCCTGGTATTTGGACGTGGTCACCTGGTACACAGGCGTGGACTCCTGGTATTTGGGCATGGACTCCTGGTATTTGGACGTGGTCACCTGGTACACAGGCGTGGACTCCTGGTATTTGGGCATGGACTCCTGGTATTTGAACGTGGACTCCTGGTATTTGGGCATGGCTACCTGGCACACAGGCTCGGCCTCCTCATAGTTGTGTTCATCAGCCAGATTTTCATAGCTTGGGGCCGCTGAAACAACATATTTCAAATTATGCCAGCTTTCATTTTTATATTGCAAAGTTATAATGAAGCTTAGCGCAAGTTCAATGAGGAAGACCAATACCCCCTGGTGTTACACGTCACTTCAATCTCCTCTTCCATTAAGTAATCAGGGGCGTTACTCCCCAGCTAGCCAATCATCGCACCTGCTAACCCCTTTAAATCTGCTCTTCCCTCTCTGTCAGTTGTCATTTCAGGTGTCAACGCACAACCCTCCTCCACCCCTTCGCCTCCTGTCTCCTCCTGCCAAACTAATCCTTCTTCCTTCAGACCAGACCCAACCACTTATCACCACCACCAGTGTCTAGACCCCGGGGGGGTTCATCGGAGCGGTTTTCCCCTCCCGAATGATCATCCTACAAACCGGGGCCTAATCTCCAAACATCAGTTAATTCATTGTTGTAATCTGTCAATCATAATTTCCTTATACCATGCGTCCCGGTAATAAACATGTATTTCATACATCACGTCTCTCCTGATTGAAATATATGTATGTAGTAGTTTGGTAGTTGATTGCAGCAGTAATTGTCAGGCCAAAGAGGTCATACTATTAGTTTGTATGTAAATAACGGTATGGATAAAAATACTGATTATTAGTGTTGTGTAAATATGAATTGCGGAAGTCTGATGGGCACCATTGTAATTATTTTATTGTGTACATTGAATGAATTTCTTCCAATATTTCCATAAAATAAAACATCTAATAACATTACATTACATAACCTAAGCAAATAGGCTAAAATGCAAAAACCAACAAAAAATATAAAAAACCATATATACACACTGATAATCAAGTTTACACCCAAAAATAACTGATTATTTTCGTAAAAATAAATACAGCAAATAGACTTTTTCGTGGAAGAAAATGACTCATGTATTTTTAAAGATAGCTAGTAGTTAAAGATTTTCAAAAATGCATCAAAAGTTGACTAATTGTCCTTTAAAGCTGCTTTAAAAAAACATATTTTGGTCTAATTTTACACTTTAAATGGCTTTACGATACTTCGTCTACACATCTTTCTCAGACTGGTTCAGTTATGCAATATCTGTGGTTATGTTTGGGATCTGATTCTAGTTCTTGGGGTTTTAGAGAAAAAAAGCCACAGAAAAAAGAATGATAATTTAACCGTCACCAGTGGTTTGGTTTTGTCAAGACAAATGCATTTAGTACCACAGATAAGACAGTGGGTTATTGTCAAATGGTAGATGGGATGACATGTAATGAGGTTTTGTGTACGGCCATTGTTACAATGAGGTGTAAAATGTGAGAAGACGTGCGGTTTAAAGAAGAAGAAGGAAGGATTTGTCTTGCCTGCTGTGAGAAACTGTGTCCGAGAAGGTAAAGGCGGCGTCTCAACCTGGTATGTGTTGCTTCTGAGAATTCAAGAAAATGAAACTGCATTTTTCTTTAAAACTATGACGTGAAATAAACAGTTCGACATTTCAGTGAATAAGCTTAATCACGTTCTTGCAGGGAGTTAGACGAGAAGATTGATACCACTCACATGTATTTATATTAAATGTGAAGCTACAGCTGGGTTAGCTTAGTTTAGCATTAATGCTGCATTCATGGGGTGGAAGATTAATATATAATATATAAATATAATAAAATACAATAAATTAAAATGAAATTGAGAAAAATAAATAAAATTTCAATAAAATAAAATACATTCTAAGATTTGGCTAGAGCCAGGCTAGCTGTTCCAATCTGTTTCCATTGCTTATGCTAAGCTAAGCTAACTGCATCATATTTAAAAGACATATTTAAGTTTGGTATCAATTTTCTCTTCTAACTCTCGTCAAGAAAGATGATAGCTGTGTCTTATGTAATGTAAATCTTTGTCGTTTACAGTTTACAAAGATCTTACTTTGAACAATACATGAATTTAATATAAAATATGAAAGATATTAAGTAAAGAAAATGTATATTACTTGATAGTTAAGTCAGACTTGTTCCTGTGAAGCTGTGTGATTCTGAGTCTGCCTGTGGACAAATAAAAAGGACACGCAGTTAGATTTACTCACATTGAAAATGATCGATCCTTAATAAAATTGTAATGCTTTTTAATGAACTCACTGCCCAAGGATATAAGAATGGCAAGCTCTTTCTAATTCTAGGAAAATATAAAGACTTTTAATTTCATCTGTCTTTTCATTGTTACTATTACTTCGTTTTTAAGAAGAAGAAGAAGATATACTTTATTCATCCCTTACAGGGACATTTCTTTCCCCACTCTGAAGTGTTTACACACATTACACACACAGGGGAGGACATACATGCCTACACACAACCACATGCAGATAGGAGAAGTGGCAGAGCAGAGAGGCTGCCAGGTACCCGGTGCCAAGGGAGCAGTTTCGAGGTTAGGTGCCTTGCTCAAGGGCACCTCGGCAGTGGCCTTGGAGGTGAACTGGCACCTCTCCAGCTACCAGCTCACTCCATATTATGTTTTGTGGTCCGATCGAGACGTGAACCAGCGACCCTTCGGTTCCAACACCAAGTCCCGACAGACTGAGCCACTGCCGCCTTAACCTCCAATCATTGATTTTTACATTATTTATGTTTAATCTTATTTATTTTGTATAGCTTGTATGTATTATAGCCTCCACTGGCTTCCTGTCCATTTTTGAGTTCATTTTAAGTTTCTATGGTTTGTTTTTAAATCACTTAATGGGCTGGCCCCAGAGTACATCTCCGACCTGCTACAGGTGTACACCCCCTCAAGGGCTTTGAGGTCGGCTGATCAGCTGCTGCTAGTAGTTCCAAAAACAAGGTAAAAGACCAGGGGAGACCGAGCCTTCTCAGCGGTAGCCCCCAGGCTCTGGAACGACCTGCCCCCTCATGTCAAATTGTCGCCCACTCTTGAAGCTTTAAGTCCCGCCTAAAGACCCACCTCTTTTCCCTCGCTTACGAGTCAGTCTGAGCTACAGTATGTCACTACCTAGTTGTATGCTTTTATTGTCTGTCCATAGCCTTTATGTGCCTTGTATTTGTTCTTATAAGGTTCTTTATTTACTTGTAGCTCTAAGTAGGACATGAGGAAACCTATAACAATATATAAGTATTCATGGTTTTATTATGAACAATCCTCTCTAATAATTCTCAGTTATATTCCTCCTGCTTTATTTGCTCTGTGTTTATCCACATCCTAAAATCAGCTGGTTTCCGTTCAGGGATTATTAAAGTGATGAAATCCACCATTACAGTAATAATAGCATTTCATTCAATTATTATAGTTTTCCTTCTGCTTTGCAATACCTCTGCAATACCAGGTTCTTTTTTAAGAGTTTGGTTTCTCTTCCTGTCATGGGTTTTAAATTCCACATATTACACTATATCGGTTTTTCAGTAAACAAAAAAAACAGGTAGTTAACAATATCAAAAGTGAAATGTATGTCTTTTGCAAACTTGTTTTTAATATAAACTTTTATTAGTCAAATCCTTTTGAACATAGCTTTGTAAGCATGTTTTTATGCTGGCAAAACACATTTACAAGTATAAAACTTCCAATTAAGAGTGAAACACTGTACTTATACTGCTTTATTTAGGCTACTTTAACCATATGTACATGTATAAACATTACATGTCACTTGTTAGACGCTTTTACCCAAATCGACTTACATTCTCAATACTGTGGGCAATCCCCGCAGGAGCAATTTGGGGTGAAGAGTCTCAGGGACACAACGACATGCTGACTGCAGTGGGGTTTGAACCTGTCCGAACACCAACACACAATCCCACTGCTCCACACGCACCCCTTTAACATTATACATTAATCAAACTATCCGAAGAATATGTTAAAATTAGCTCCACTTTGATCGATCAACTGTAAAACCCTTACATTTGGATTTTAATTAACACTCTCCTAATTAATTGGTTACCTGACTACTTAATTAATTATTGATGACTCAGTTACTTCATGTCTTGATTGAGAAATTAAATACTTCAGTGCCTTAATTATAGGTTAATTAGTCGATAGATTTCATGATTGTTTGATTATTCCATTAATTGTTTACTTTTTATTTACAGATTGTCCTTCGCATTTTAGGCAGCGTTTAATATTTTAAACTACACTTCTGCTTCTGAAGAAAAGATATCTGAGAACATCTGGATTATATCTGATAAAGAGGAAAACAATTGAATAAACGCTCATTAAATAAAAATCAACTTGTTGTTATCGTATAATAAAAGGCAAAAAAGGACGTTTTGAAGTGCAAATGATGCCATGTCTGATACATATCACCCACCTTGTCTTGATAACCATCGGTTGATGCAGACGAAGACGATGGCGATGACCAAAGACACAGAAATACTCCCAAGAATCGCCCACAACCAGAGGTACTTGCGTAAAAGCTCCATGGACATTCTGCTGGACGCAACAACAATAAATATTTGTTTTTAAAAATTACATTAGACGTGTTGGGAAGCTGTGAGGACTATGTGTGAGGTTGCTGCTTTTCAGTTTACAGAACTGTGCATCGGAAATAAACCACTTCCCCTTTTTGTGCGTTGACTAAGTCTTAAAGTTATTTTTGTGTTTACTTTTGACACTGACAAGCAAATCAGCTTTTTGAGAATCTCGAGGGAGTTTTTTTCTTGTGAAAAGGAGAGAAATGTGACAGCTGTTCTTCAGGATATCTGAGCCTGTGCTGGACATTAACAGGCGTTTATTAACTGTATTGTTTGTAGCTAGACAGACTTATTTATATTCCCCTATCTAATTGAACACAAGGAAATAAAGACTATTATTTCCTGTGTATCTGTGTACCACATATCCTCTCTTTGCAACAGCTTCCTGTCAAACACTGACCAATACTGCTGATACTGGATGGATGAAGTGATATTTGACATGGATGCACATTAACATGTTAAATTATGTTCTTCAAAACCAACCAAGTGATGTTTATAGTAGACACGAGGCCAAATATAAGCTTTTAAAACTAATTTATCTTGCATTTACATGTATTAATTGTCTATCAAATGACTTTTTATTCAAAATATTTTGAGTGAACATTAACTTTGTCAGTTTGAAATAGTCAGAATGTGCCTTACCTTTTCAGAAAACAGTCTTCAAGGCTTTAAAAGTTCCTTAAACAGATAATAAAAGCGGATGGCGGGATGTGAAAATAGTCGTCTTGTGTGGTATTTGCATGACAGTTTCACATTTTCTTAGTCAAAGAAACTTGAAGGCTTGGATGGTATTATCCCCTCCCCTCTCGCTCCCTCGCTCCAGTGACTACAGCATGAGTGTGTGTGTGTGTGTGTGTGTGTGTGTGTGTGTGTGTGTGTGTGTGTGTGTGTGTGTGTGTGTGTGTGTGTGTGTGTGTGTGTGTGAGACTGACAGTGAAACAATCATATTTATAGCCATAATATACATCCGCTTGAAGACTCCTATAGTGCAATGTGTATGTTTATGTGAGAGATTAACCTCTCTTCTGTGATATATATATTTCTGTTAAATATATAAAAATAACATTTAAAGCAAGTTATTTTCCATGTATAGTCAATGATGTCAGAGCCAGAGCATTTCTGTACATCCATTTCCGAGTCTCTTTATGTTTTCAGTTCCTCTTGAATCAAGTGTCACACTGGTGTTTGCCACTGTGGGGGCGATTGGATTAAGACTTTTTTTTAAATTCCATTACTCACATTCATACACAACTCTTCTTCCTTATTTGGTATTATTTTTTCAAAAACAATTGTACTGTGTTTTACTTTAACTATAACATCTAATAATTCAAGCAGAGGCAACATTTTTATTTTTGTTGAATTGTTTATAAGACATACAGAGGTGGGAGAAGTACTCAGATGTTGTACTTTAGTAAAAGTAGAAGTACTCAGATGTTGTACTTGAGTAAAGGTAGAAGTACTCAGATGTTGTACTTGAGTAAAAGTAGAAGTACTCAGATGTTGTACTTGAGTAAAGGTAGAAGTACTCAGATGTTGTACTTGAGTAAGGTTACTTGTAAACTTAGAAGTACTCAGCTGTTGTACTTGTAGTAAAAGTAGAAGTACTCAGATCTTGTACTTGAGTAGAAAGTACTCAGATCTGTACTTGAGTAAAAGTAGAAGTACTCAGATCTTGTACTGAGTAAAAGTAGAAGTACTCAGATCTTGTACTTGAGTAAAAGTAGAAGTACTCAGATCTTGTACTTGAGTAAAAGTAGAGGTACTCAGATCGTATACTTGAGTAAAAGTAGAAGTACTCAGATCTTGTACTTGAGTAAAAGTAGAAGGACTCAGATCTTGTACTTGAGTAAAAGTAGAAGTACTCAGATTGTGTACTTGAGTAAAAGTAGAAGTACTCAGATCTTGTAATTGACTAAAAGTAGAAGTACTCAGATCGTGTACTTGAGTAAAAGTAGAAGTACTCAGATCTTGTACTTGACTAAAAGTAGAAGTACTCAGATTGTGTACTTGAGTAATGGTAGAAGTACTCAGATCTTGTACTTGACTAAAAGTAGAAGTACTCAGATTGTGTACTTGAGTAAAAGTAGAAGTACTCAGATCTTATACTTGAGTAAAAGTAGAAGTACTCAGATCTTGAGTAAAAGTAGAAGTACTCAGATCTTGTCCTTGAGTAAAAGTATTAGTACCAGAGTGTAGGAATACTCTGTTACTGCAGGGTAGCTTGTGGATTTACTCCAGGTGGAACTAAAGTCTGATTTAACACTTGGTTATATTTCACATCATTCATCCAGATCTGTAAAGTAACTAAAGGTATTAAATACATATAGTGGAGGAAAAGTACAAAGTACCATACAATGGAAATACTCAAGTAAATTACAAGTATCTCAAAATTGTACTTAAGTACAGTACTTTATTACATATATTTAGTAACTTCCAACATTTGAAGACATATACTGTAAATATAGCTGAGACTTTTTAAGTTGCTGAATCTATAAAAAGAACTGATGAAAAAGAGAGGAAGAGAGAGGAGTCACATTTAGTTTAAATGTGGAACTTGATACTCTCTACTTCTCAGAAACTGAATTCAAAGTAAATTGCTTTTATTTTGAAGGATGAGATCGGACTCACACAAGTTAGCTAAAATCAGTCAAAAGGAAATGGGCAGTTTTCTTTCAAAATAAAAGCGCATACAATTGTAAATTGGTGGGAAAACAATGTAGGAGGTGAATGCAACGTTAGCAATCATAATACATGGAAACCAAAGTTTAATTCTTTGTTATGCAAATGTTTTTATAAGTATGGTTGGAGCATGGGACCCCAAATGTTTAGTGTTCTGTAGAATAGAATTGGGAGGGATGAAACCCTCTTTAATTGTTACACATGCAGAGCACACAGTGACATTTAACCCTAGCCAGGAGTCTAGTACTAGGAGCAGTGGGCAGCTATTGTACAGCGAGTGGGGGGAAGTTGTCTGGTGCATTGCTCAGGGGCACCACGGCAGGGCAGGAGGTGAACTGGGACCTCTCCAAGTAGCAGTCCACACTCCATATTTAGGTTTGTTCGGGGACTTGAACCAGCGACCCTACGGCTCACAGTCCAAGCCACTACTGACTGTGCCACTGCCGGACTGCCTATAGGTGTTTGATGTCTTTATTTCTCTTTATAGTTTCTTTACGGCTTTCTGTGGTTGCTTTGCTTCCCTCTGCAGCCATCGGGTGTTTTGATGTGGTCATATTGAGTGTCTTTTTCATTAAATTGGTCTTTTTGTAATCATTGTGTCTCTATGTGAGCATTTTGAAATTATTTTTTATTTGTTTCATCTTTTTGTATTTATATCTGGTCTGTGGTTACTTTTAAACCTCATTGTTGTTGTTTTGTGCCTATCTGTAGTCATTTTCTGTGGTAGCCTTTTTCTATATGTTTAGTCTTTTGAAATCTGTGTAGTCACTGAGCATCTCTTTGCAGGCATCTCTTCTCTCTTTTCGTACTCATAGTCACTTTGTTATTGTTTTAGTCTCATTTAAAGATTATTTGTTTTGTTTCTACTCAATGTCGTTATATTTGGTATATGGTTATTTGTACACCATCCTGTTGTTGTTGTTGTTGTTGTTGTTGTTGTTGTTGTTGTTGTTGGCGCGGTGGTTAGAGCGTTGGTCATCAGATCAAAGGACGTTGGTGAACTCCAGTTCGAATCCCGCCTCGGCCGCCACTGCGTCAGGCCGTTGTGTATGAGGGGCCGTGTAGGCCAAAATTCAAACTCACCTCACACACACACTACTGAAAACATCTGGCCTTGCACACACACTACTGAAATACTCTCACATTCACTACTGAACACCTCACACACACACTACTGAAAATTAAGCCTCACACACACACTATTGAAATCCTCTCACATTCACTACTGAACACCTCACACACACTACTGAAAATTAAGCCTCACACACACACTACTGAAAACATCTGGCCTTGCACACACACTACTGAAATCCTCTCACATTCACTACTGAACACCTCACACACACTACTGAAAACATCTGGCCTTGCACACACACTACTGAAATCCTCTCACATTCACTACTGAACACCTCACACACACACACTACTGAAAATTAAGCCTCACACACACACTACTGAAATCCTCTCACATTCACTACTGAACACCTCACACACACACTCCTGAAAAGCATTTTACTGAAAGGTTCTCAGTAGGGAATGTGCATGTGTTTCACCTATGTGTGTGTGAGGGGATTCTTGATGTAACGGAAGTCATTCTAATGTAACGGAAGTCATTCTAATGTAACGGAAGTCATCTGCTAGTGGTCTCTTTGCTAGCCCCGTTAGCTTCATTAGCTCCAGGCTGCTACTCGGACGTGTTTTTTGTGTTGATGCCTGGAGGAGTATTCTTCATTGAAATATCGCACTTATCTTATGTCTCTGCAGTTCAAACAGACCGTCCATGAATGCAGTTTATTCGGTAAGTGAAATTCAAGCACTTTATTTCTTACTTGTCTTTTTATTCAGCTAACAAGCGAGACGAAGCTACATCTGTGCTAACGATGCTATCCGTAGCATACAAGTTAAAACATAATAGAGAAGTGTAAAACATTAAGAAGGATTATACTGTAAAACATAAGGCTTCTCGGTGAGGTTGGTAAAATAAGGTCATGCTTGTACATTAGTTAGTTTGCTAGTTAGGTAACTGCATTGTTATTGTTAATTTAAAATAGCTATGCTCGACGATGCAGACAGCTAGCGTCACATTAGTGTTGAAGAGCAGAGTATGAGATTAACCTCACTATAAGATCTGTGTATCTGAACAATATGAATCTCACATTTCCAGTTGGTTCCAGAAATAACGTTAACGTAGATATTGCAATATGGTTTGTTGAGCTGGAGTTGATTGTTGAAGCTTACTGGTTAACGTTCATCATATTAAACGAACGAACCCAAACGTTGTTGTTTTTATTAATATTATTACCAATACTTACTTAGCATTTTATTATCATTACACTGGAGAAACCGATTTATTGTGGCAGCAGAACGTGAACATGTAACTTAATGCCTGCATTTGAGGACGAAAAATAGCTCAGTCAATGCTTTAGGGACAAGGAAATGATTTGTTTAAATATTAGATATGACGTTATGTGTGCTTCTGTGACAATGAAGCTTATTCATTGCATTACATTTGTTGAAGATATTTGTCTTTTACCCTTACGTGTGTGTTACAAATGAATGTGAATATGGCATAGTACAAATATTTAAATTGACTGTCTCATGAAAAACGATTCTAAAATAAAAAGGACCCCAAAGTGAGTCAGCAAAACTTTCAATAATAATCTAAGGTATTGAGTTTTGGGATGTTACTTGCATACACATCTATAAATGCCTTAAGGTTTCTAAAACATACAATATGTGGTAAATTCAACAGTGGACCCAGCAAAGATTCACATTTTTGCATGATTTGTTATTGATTTGTTGCTGTTACTTAATTTTAATAAATTCAAGTCAAGCTTAGTTACATGTGATGGTAGCTATATGCTCTTACCTGTGTGCCTCCTCCGCAACCAGACTGTATTCAAACTCTTAAGTACCAGTTCTATCTACTTTAAACAATTAAAAAGACAAAATCAACTACATTTATTGATATACCAATCTTTATTTTTGGGGCCTCTTCTTCTTTTAAATTAAACTTTCAGACATGAGATATTGAAATACAGTAATAGTTTTGTCTATTTAAAAAAGAATGAGCCATTCCTTACAGTTAACTTCATATTTCTTATTGTCTAA